TTCAGGGTCGTTCTCCCGTTGTGTTAACGGACAGAACCTGGCTTCCTTCTAGCCATGCTAATCTGTGTATCAAAGAGTCAGTTGTCTGCACTCTCCCATACTTTTTCATTCTTTATATGGCAAAGCTGGGGATTAAAAAAAAATTTTTTTGTTCTCTTTCCCTTTTAGTTATACAATCTGTCTTTAAACCATTTTTTATTTTACTCTGTGTAGTTAAAAGAAGTCATGCAATTCTTTTAATATTTTGCCAGAAATTTCTTCCACCAGATATCCTAGCTCATGGCTTGTAAATTTTGCCTTCATAAAGCCAGAGGACACAGACACATTTCAGCCAAGTTCTTTGCCACTTTGTAACAAGGATAGCCTTTTCTCCAGTTTCCAGTGATACATTCATCATTTCCATCTGAGACCTCATCAGAATGGCTTTCACTGTCCATATTTCCAGCTGTTCTGATCACAACCATATTACAAGTAATCTCTAAGAAGTTCCAGACTTCCCCCGTGGCTCTTCTCTTCTGAGCCCTCACCACTGTCTCTTTAACCCTCCATTCACAGAAGTCTAGGCTTTTTCTACCATGCACCTCCAGATTCTTCCAGCCTCTACTCATTACCTAGTTCCCAAGCTTTTTCCACATTTTCGGGTGTTTGCATAAGCAACCATCCCACTTCCCTGGTACCCATTTTCTGTCCTAATCCTTTTTGTGCTGCTATGACAGAGCACCTAAGACTGGGTAATTTATAACAGACATTTATTGGCTCATGGTTCTGGAGGCTGGGGAGTCCAAGAACAAGGGGTTGTGATCTGGTGAGGGTCTTCTTGCTATGTCATCACATAGTGGGTGGGTAAAGAGAGGGCAAGAGAGACCAAAGGGACTTAACTCATGCTTCTATGCGGAACTCGCTTCCACGATAACAAACTCACTCCTCTGATAATGGCATTAATCCATTTACTTCACCTCATGGCCTAAACACTGTTACACTGGGGATTAAATTACCAAAACCTGCTTTTGGTGGACACATTAAAAGCACAGCAGCACTGATACATGAATGCTGCAAAATCTTGCCATGAATTTTATTATGTACACGTGCAATGATCTTCCTGTCGATGCTGAGTATTGTAGAATTTATTTTGCTTTACACATCACCACAGCAAACAGACTTAGTTTTTTCCCCCTCACCTGCCATTTCATAGGTTAGGCGCATTTCCGAGGCATTTGGCCTGAGTCTGGTATATTGTTGCTATAACTTGAAGCCTTTTCAGCAAATTGGTAAGCCTTAGAACAGCTTCAACAGAAAGAGAAGGCTTGCTTTGAAATGCATTTTTTGATTTTTTGCTAATTTGCTAAGCATCACGAGTTTGAATGCTGACCTTGAGCTACACCATTTTAGCTGCCTATTGGCACCCACAAGAGCGAGCCAGAAAGCACACTGAGACAAACCCCTATACTAGAAAGCCATGCAAAGCCGTGTAAGTTCTAATCCATCTCATTGTAAGAGGTCTTACTTCTTTTCTCCTGTTCTCTTTTGGGTATTAGCTCCTTGTTACTCAAAGAGTATCCTTGGGTTTGGTGATTAGTGTTCCTGATAGAGCTTTGTAAGTGCTAAGCTTTCACCAAATTTGTTTCTATTTGAAACACTTGCCTAGTGGGCTAACATTGATTAGGATAAAAAATTGCATAACCATCCAGCTGTGTTATATAAATCTTAAGTATTTTAGGTAGAAGGAAATTACTTCAGAAAAAAAAAAAAAATTCCCATGCGTTTTAGTCAAGCCAAGGTGCTTCCAACAATTTTATGTCAGTACTAAGACTAGTGAGATGTTGGAGATGATCACATATAGTTTAATATGCTGCATCTCTGATATCTCAGAACTGTCTGCCAGGTATTTTGGGCACAGAAATGATGTTAGAATGCCACTGAACATTTTGTTTTCAGAAATATTTGCATATAGAGAAACAGTTACATTAAAAGGGGTTAAATTTCTTTTTAAAAGTTGCAAATTTTTAACTGTAAAAATCATGGAAAACTTGGAAAAATGCAGTAACATGAAGATAAAATGAAATCTCATCCTGTGAGTTAAGCTGTAGTGGTGAGTCAACTTTGAATTTCAATTATTTTTCTGGAAAATCCTTTTTCATAGTCATTGTTCAGGTATAGCAGTAGAATGTGGGAGCTCTTAAGATGAAACACAAACCAGACAAATTGACAGGCAATAGAGAGCATGTAATTAGAAAGAGTGTAGCTTTCGTCTATCCCAGCTAGTGATCTCTGAGGATTTTAGTCAAAGACATAACTTCTCTGGGTGTCAGTTTCTTATCTTGAAGGCAAAGAGGATTTGGAAAATGTTGCTATTGGTAAAGCCAAGTGAAAGCTATCAAGCATGAGGATGCCTGGTCTCACCCATCCTGTCTTAACCATTTGATTCACATTTCATCAGAGCATATGTAATATCTATGTGGTGGTTAAGGGATGGTTATTCTTGAGGTTGGCCTTGTTAACTGAAAAACCAAACTCTAAAATATTTTAGAGGTTTATTATGAGCCAGTATGAGTAACTGCAGCCCCAGGAAACACAAAACCAAGAAGTCTTGAGTAAGTGTGCCTGAGGCAGGCGGATTACAGTATATACATTTTAGGGAGGCAGAAGTTACAAGGAGGTATAAATCAATATATAGGGGCTTTACATTGGTCTGGCCCAAAAAGACAGGCTATTTTGAAGTGGGAGCTCATAGGTATAGGTGGGTTAGGAGATTATGTAATTTATTTTATTTTATTTTATTTTATTTATTTATTTTGAGACAGGGTCTCTCTCTGTCACCCTGGCTGGAGTGCAGTGGCACAATTGCTGCTCACTGCAGCCTTGACCTTGCTGGCTCAGAGATTTTTTACTTTGTAATTGGTTAAAGGCGTAAATCTTTGTGTAAAACTTTGGAGTCAGCAGAAAGGAATCTAAGTTGTGACAAGGAAGTCTGTTCACCAATTCACTGGGTCAGAGTGACCTGGAGGGATGTGACTTAGCTCCTGTCTGGCACGACCCTAGGTCCTGTTTATGATCTCTGTTTTAACATTAAAGTTGGTCAGTTATGTCTAAACTCCAAAAGATAAAGTATAGTGAGGCATGTCCAATCTCCTTTCACATCATGGCTGGGAACTCAGCTTTTCGGATTTCTCTGGGATTCCCTTTGGCCAAGAGGGAGTCCACTCAGTTGAGGGGACTTAGGATATTTATTTATTTATGAGACAGAGTCTCGCTCTGTCACCCAGGCTGGAGTGCAGTGGTGTGATCTCAACTCACTATAACCTCCACCTCCTAGGTTCAAGTGATTCTTGTGCTTCAGCCACCATAGTAGCTGGGATTATAGATGTGTGGCTAATTTTTGTATTTTTAGTAGAAACGGGGTTTCACCATGCTGCCCAGGCTAGTCTCAAACAGCTGGCCTCAAATGATCCACCCACTTCGGCTTCCCAAAGTGTTGGGATTACAGGCATGAGCCACTGCACCCAACCCAGATTTCATTTTTAGTTGATACCCTCCCCTTACTTCTCTTCTGCCATTGTTGATCTTTTTCATCCAGGTGACTTCTTTTTTTTTTTTTTTTTGAGATGGAGCCTCGCTCTGTTACCCAGGCTGGAGTACAGTGGTGCGATCCACTGCAACTTCCGCCTCCTGGGTTCAAGTGAGTCTCCTGCCTTAGCCTCCCAAGTAGCTGGGATTACAGGAGTGTGTCACCACGCCCAGCTAATTTTTAGTATTTTTAGTGGAGACGGGGTTTCACCATGTTGGCCCGACTGGTCTCAAACTCGTGATCTCAAGTGATCCGCCTGTCTCACCTCCCAAAGTGTGGGATTACAGGTGTGAGCTACCACCCTGGCCAAATCCAGGTGGCTTTACTCTCTCACCCGTGGTGAATATTTCATCGTGTGTGAGATTTCATTTATTTTAAACAGGAGTTTCATGGAGAATTACATGTTTTAAAACCATAGACCTAGGAGTTTGTGTACCTTTTATTTTAGGCAGAAAGGATTGCTGTCTTCCTATTAATTCTTTCAGTTTGAAACAGAAGGGTGAAATGAATGAGAATTTTGGTGAAGAGAAGGCAGAGTAGAGAACAGGATACAGCAGGCTAGAGAATCGAGTTGCGCGTGGCAAGTCTGTTTTCTGAGCCTGTTCTTTTCACTCCCACTGCCTATAACCTTCCCCCAGATGAAATTCCCTTTATCCTCCTCCAGTTACACCATTTAATTGGAATAAAATACCTGTGTTCAACTTCAAAGTATTTTTCAAGCGCGGTTGACTTTTCACCTTTGCAGGGGTCTAGGTTTTGTTATTACCGAGTTCCTGTCAAGACCCCTCACAGCTGCCTCATCGTGCTCTGTGGCTGGGAGTGGATACCACACTGTGTTCAAATCACCACTCAGAAATTAAACACACAGTGGATTTAGGCGTTTAGGACTTTAGTCTACAAACAGCATGTATTGCTTATTAATTTGTTCTCGTAAACAATTTAAAAGATACTCGTTTTTCATGCGGTTTTTGAATCTCACTTAAATATTAAGGTTTTTTTGTGGGTAGTTCACCAAATCTCTGCATTTTGCTGATCGCTTTTTCTATAAAGTAATTTTTAAAGTTCTCAGCAGTAATATTAAAGCCATGTGAGCTATGCCCAGCATCCCGTTTGTTATAAAACAAGAACCTTTGACTAATGGGAAATTCTCTGTCAGCGAAGACATTTTGAAATTTGTAACTACGATTTTTCTGTATTCTTCCCAGAGCAGGATTTTGAAATTTTAGGCTGCTTAGGAGTTTAGAGATAGTGTGACCTCTTTGTTCTGCAGTGAGAGTCAAGGTGCTACCTTAAAACCTTTGCTGTCTCCCTTCCCCGCCTTGCTCCTGAGTTTTAAGTCGTGGCTACACCAGAGATGTCTCTCCGTGGAGCTGGTCCTCACTGTGTTCTCATGTGCTTTTTCTGGGAATGTTCCGCACACGCTGTCCGGATGCAGATAACCGGAGGCGCAGGGTTCGTGGGCTCCCATCTAACTGACAAACTCATGATGGACGGCCACGAGGTGACCGTGGTGGACAATTTCTTCACGGGCAGGAAGAGAAACGTGGAGCACTGGATCGGACATGAGAACTTCGAGCTGATTAACCACGACGTGGTAGAGCCCCTCTACATCGAGGGTGAGTGAAAACTGCACCTTGTTATTATTCAGAGCTACGCAGGTGGCCTCGCCCGAGCTGCGGGATCCCTGAGGGTAAGCTGTCTGGCTCAGCACGTTGAAAGCTATGTTGGGTTTTATTTTTGAAACGTCTCAATGTGTATGAGGTGCTGTCCTAGTCTCTGTGGTAACGAGTGGTTATAACAGTGTGAATAGCTGTCTTCTCTCCTACATGGCACCCCGGTCCTGAACTTTGTGGACCTGTTGAAGTAACTTTCCTGTAGTACACATCTGCTATGATCTGAATGTTGGTGTCCCCCCAAATTCATATGTTGGCATCCCAAGCCCCACAGTGGTGGTGTTAGGAGGTGAGGCCTTTGGAGGTGACCAGTTCATGGAGACAGAGCCCTCACAAATGGGATTAGTGGTTTTATAAAAGAGGCCTCAGAAAGCCCCCTTGGCCTTTCCACCGTGTGAGGACATGGCGAGAATATGCATATATGAACCAGGAAGCAGGTCCTCACCAGCACGCACTCTGCCAGTCCCTTGATCTTGCTAATTTGATAGAAAACCAGTGGTTCAATGTACATTTCTCCGGTTACTAAATATGGTTAGACTTTAACATGTTAATTCATCAGAGAAATACAAATGGTTTTGTTAGTCCATTTAAAAAATATTCTTTTAGTATGAGTTCTTTGTAATAGGAATGTTAACTGTTGGGCTTGTATTTAGCATTTTTCCCACAAAGGCAAAGTTTTTGCCTTTTCGTTTGATTGAAATTTTCTAACAGTGTCATCTGTTCATATCCCGTTTGCTGATTCTTGTGTTCTCTTTCTGCTGTAACCATTCCAGGGTTAGATGACTATTTAATCTAATATTTAGAAAGCAGCCGTGGTGTTATTTTGTTGGTCGGTTTTTTGCTTCGTTTTTAAACATTTAATTATGTAAGCTGTTTGGGGTTCATTTTGGAGCGAAGCTGTAGTTTTTGTAAAGTGTAAGAGGCCATGTAGATTATAGCTCAGTGGGCTCACTTTCCTCTTGGACTTCCTCCTGGGATTGCTGTGGGGTTAACTGAGGTCATGCGTGTGACAGGGCCTGGCAGGCAGATTCTCACAGGTCCCTGCTAAGATGCCCCTTCCCATGGTTCAACCCAAGACGCTAGGTGGTGCTGTCACAGGGCTTTGCTGATGGAATCATGGTTATGAGCCAGCTGGCTTTAAAATGAGGATGATCCTGGATTATCTGGGTGTGCCCCCACATAGTCACGTGGAGCATCAAAGGCAGCAACAGAGAATGGAAGAGTCAGGTAGAGAAATTGGATAGGAGAGACACCACGGGGAGACCAGGCAGAAGGGAAGCTGGAGAGGTTTGCAGTGTGCAAGGGACCTGACCTACCCTGGCTGGCTTTGAAGGAGCCGTGAGCGGGAGAGTGTTGCAGCCTCTGGAAGCTGAGACCAGCTGCCTGCTGAGAGCTTGTAAGGGGACCTCAGTCCTGCAGCCTTAGGGAACTGAATTTTGCCATCATCCTGAATCATCCTCTGAAGAAAGGAACAAAGCCCTGCTGACACCTTGATTTCTGCCTGCGGGGAGGCAGAGCCAAGAACCAGCTGAGCCACACTGTGCCCAGTCCTGTAGACCTGTCAGTTCAGATCGTGAGTGGATATTTTTTGAGCCTCTAAATTTGATTAGGCAGCAATAGAAAACTACTGTGAGGACTTAGCACAGCACTGGGCCCTCATTTCACTAAGTACTGCCCAAATTATACCTTTTTTTTTTTTTTTGAGACAGAGTCTCGCTCTGTCACCCAGGCTGGAGTGCAGTCATTGAGGCGCTATCTCAGCTCACTGCAAGCTCTGCCTCCCGGGTTCATGCCATTCTCCTGCATCAGCCTCCTGAGTAGCTGGGACTATAGGCGCCTGCCACCATGCCCGGCTAATTTTTTTGTATTTCTTAGTAGAGATGGGGTTTAACCGTGTTAGCCAAGATGGTCTCAATCTCCTGACCTTGTGATCCACCCGCCTGGGCCTCCCCTAAATGATACCTATTAATATTACTACTCTCTTCTCTTTTTTAGCACATGGCAAGAAATATTTATTTTATGACACTGTTGTTCATATAATATCAGTACTACTGAGAAGCCAGAACCTAATAAAAATGGTGTTTGAATAAGTAAATTATCTTCTTTAACTGCGAGCTTTGATACCATAGCTGCTCTAGGCCATTTCTGCCAATTCTGTGACTGTGTGTAGGACACGCACACAAACATACACATAGTGCAAACACACACACACACACGCCCACACACTGAATGAAGTCATACAGTAAATAATTGCTGTTTTGTCCTTTGTTCGGAGTCTTGCATTCCCTCAGTTGGCATGTATGTTGGGAGAGCATAAGATAAGCCTCTCTGCCTCTGTAGTTTGAAGCCTGTTTTCCACTTTCTCCTTCAGCGGGTCCTCAGCCTTAGCATCAGGTCTTCTGTGCCCTTGATAATTTCCCACTTGCTGCCCCCACCATCTCTTCACTCTTTCTGCCCTCACAGTGCCCACTTCATCCAACAATGCCAAAATGTACCTTCCTTTGAAGCCCACATGGAACATTCTCCAAGATTGATCATATTCTGAGCCATAAAGGACACCTCAGCCAACCCGAAAGAACAGAGTCCTATAAAGTGTCCTCTCAGACCAGAGTGGAATTACACTGGAAATTAGTAATAGAAAGATACCTGGAAAATTACAAAAATATTTAGTGATGAAACAACAAACTTCTACATAACATATGGGACAAAGGAGAAATCTCAAGAGAGATTAAACATACTTTCAACTAAATGAAAGAATTAGGTTTCTTGTTTATATATTTGATAAAGAATGAGATGGAAGAGAGTCTGAAATATTTTTCTCTTTTCAAAAGAATCTTTTTTCCTCATGATGAAAATAATACATACGTGTTAAAGAAAATGTAGAAAGGTATTTTACAAAGCAAATAGAAAATTATTTTTAATCTTTCTATAAACTGTTGAGGAAGTTGGCTGGGCGCGGTGGCTCACACCTATAATCCCAGCACTTTGGGAGACCAAGGAGGGTGGATCACTTGAGCTCAGGAATTTGAGTCCAGCCTGGGCAACATGGTGAAACCCAGTCTCTACCAAAAATACAAAAAGTTAGCCGGGCGTGCTTGTGCATGCCTGTGGTCGCAGCTATTCAGGAGACTGAGGCATGAGAATCACTAGAAGCCAGAATGCGGAGGTTGCAGTGAGCCCAAGATGGTGCCGTTGCACTCCAGCCTGGGTGACAGAATAAGACCTCATCTCAAAACCAAACAAAACAAAACAACCATTGAAGCTACCATCCAGTTGTTTTCCTAAATGTGATTTTTTTTTTCAAATTAAAAGCATGCTTAATAGGTAATATGGTTATATGGTTCAATTATTTTAAAAAGTAAATGGAAAAGATGGTTGGGCACAGTGGATCATGTTTGTAATCCCAGTACTTTGGGAGGCTGAGGCAGGCAGATCACTTGAGTCTAGGAGTTCCAGACCAGCCTGGGCAACATGGCAAAACCCTGTCTCTACAAAAACTAGCCAGGCGTGGTGGCATACACCTGTGGTCCCAGCTACCCAGGGGGCTAAGGTGGGAGGATTACTTGAGCCCGGGAAGTCGAGGCTGCAGTGAGCCATGACTGCACCACACTCCAGCCTGGGTAACAGAGAAAGACCCTGTCTCAAAAATAAATAAATAAATAAATAATAAACAGAAAAATGGAAAAGATAAAACTATAAAGTCTTCCTCTTGCCAGTTCTCAGCTCTCCTCAGGAAACAGCTGTTGATCCTTTCTTTGTATTCATCTGCAGTGTTATGTGACCCAACTAACACAAATAGGTATTTATAGTTCTCTCTTTTTATATAACCTATTATGTATTATCCTGAATCTTATTGTCTTCCACTTACTGTGTCCTGGTGCTCTTTCATGTATATCATATATAGAGGACTTTTTTGGCAGCTGCTTAGTGTTCTATTTTGTGACTATACTAACTAGATCTCTTTACCAAGACACGGGTTTTTTTCCCCTCAACATTACTTGTTAGCAAGTTGCCGTCTTATGAATATATTGTAATTTCCTTAGTCCTGTGTTGTTGGATCTTTAGGTTGATTGCAGTTTGGGGCCATCATAAACCATGCTTCAGAAAGCCACGCATCTGTGTCTCTGTCATCATTTTCATAGTACACTGGCTTTCCCAGGGTCTTGCTACAGAGCACCTGTGCTTCCCCGAAATACTGTCCCAATTTACTTTTCCACCATCTGCATAAACAGTGATCTTGAGACCAGCGTTTCCATGGGAAACAGGAAAAGGTAGAAATGCGCATTGTGTCATGGGAAGACCAGTACTGGGAACTTGTAGTATCTCTGTTGAAGAGGTCCAGGAAAATAAAAGAAGGAAGTGTCCATAGCTAACCCTTAACTATATTCCAAGTGCTATTCTAATTGCTGTTTGTGGTTGGCAGGTTTAATTATGTCAATACTTGTGCGAAGTAGGCAGCTATTTTCCTCATTTTTTAGGTGAGGAAACCAAGACGTGGAGTCCTTTCCATTACCTGCCTTTTGCCTGGATGCTCGGTTCCTTTGGAGGGCTGGGGGTGGGGGCACCAGGAGAGGGAAGACAGGAGAGCCAAGCCATTAACCCTGGGCGCCCACCCTAAAGAGAAGGGGTGGGAACAGTGTTTGCCAAGGGGATTGAGTCCATGTTTATGTAGACATTTAAAGCATGCAGCTCCGATTAGAATATTTTTGTTGAAGTGTCATTTAGAAATTTTTTTCTCAGCTTTCAGTTTATATTGCAAATGTAAATAAAACTGCAGTGGCGGCTCTTAGAGATCTCCCTCTGTTTAATTTGGAGCTGTGGAGGCTTCCTGTGGAGCAGCCTAGGACACTGGAAATTCTTTCCCCTGCGGTGGCTTCACAGGGAAGGTGACCCCCTCGCTAAGAACAGCCGACAGCATTGGCGGGCAACCCCAGCTCCCGGCGGCCGAGCCGGTTTCTAGTGTGCGCAGCCTTTGCCCTAAGTAAATACATTTGACATGAAATGAAGGGAAAATCTTGCTGTTTTGCTTCTTTGTGCCGAGAGAAATTTGGTCTTTATACTTTGAGAAGTTCTGTATCTTCTTCATTCCCGTTTTCCATCCTAAATACTGTTTCTGGAGACGGAGACGAGGGCCATGCTGTGAGGCTTCACATTGCAGAGAGGAACATCTCGTTGGGGAGTATTTCTGTAAAACCTCTGACTCGAGTGTAGACAAAGAGAATTCGACTGTAAGTGTCTTTTATGATGGGAATTGAGTATATGCTAAATAATCACGTGAGTTCACAGAAAGAACTAACCCATTGTTTTGCATTTTAGTGTTTCCTTAGTCTTCAGTCTCATGGTACAAATCCTTAACTGGCCCTTGGCAGTTTCGTAGAGCGTGGGAGTGGCCCAGAATGAGGCTCGACACAGACTATGTCACTAACTTAAGACAAAAGTAAAAAGAAAATCAACCAAGGAGTGGAAGCTATAGTCAGTTTTTCTGTGGAAGAGGTTTTTTTGGTAGAAGAAAATGCTTGATTTCTCCGATGTGTTCTGAACAGTGGTTTCAGGTTATTCCGAGCTGTTCTCTTCCTACGGTGATTTTGTTTCTTCCCTATTTATGTGTCATTTATGTGGGTTTTGGGCACAGTGAAATTCAACCTAAGACCCTATAGGGAGTTCATTCGTGGTTTGACTGGTTGGATTTTCCTGGTCAGAATTCACAGAAGGGCCGAGCAAGTCGCAGCCGTGCCCTTACCCAGCCTCTTCCCAACATAAAATTACCCTGCTTTCCGGTAGGAATGCCGCTGATCATTAATTGAAGCTCTTTTAGGCTCATTTCTTGAGACTTCTGTTTTTCCAGCTGACCTCCCAGCACATGGCTTTGTAAATGTGAAAGGTCGTGGCAGGGTCTCTGAGCGGTCTCTGGAACGGCTGTGTGGGCACCCGTGAATGGGCTGCCTTTCCGTCCTCCTTTGACTTCCTCTCCCCACCTCAGCTTGGATTTTGGAACATCAAGCTCATGCGTGGTGTACTCTGAACTGTGCAGCTGACATGTTCCAAGGGCCTCTGTCCTGGGTTGTGAGGGTTAGAGGGTTAGCCTCGCTGCTTCATTTACATTCTGCAGCCGGTTGTTACTAATGTTACTTCGTGTTTACCTGGCACCCCTCATTGCTGGTTATTGTCCCTGTTCTGAATTTCCCCTCTTTTCTCCCCTTCAGAATTGCTCAGCAGACTACTTAACCAACAGACTCTGCTACAGTGCCCTTTTTAGGATAGGAACTGGAGTTACTGTTAACGTTACAGGAAGAACACATTCTCAGAGGAGAGCGGGTGGTGGGAAACTTTGATTTTCATAGAGTTTTCAGTTTCCTCTCAAATGGGAGGATGCAGCAGCGCCGCTGCTTAACTGAACGTCTCGACAGTTTGACGGGGCAGCCCTCAGCCTTCCGGAGCAGCAGTGGGACTGACCTGTCCGATGAGGAAGAAACACCGAACCAGATGGACTGGCCTTTGGGGATGGAAAAACCCCAGTTTACGCTCAGTTCTTCTCTCAGCTAACTTTTGTGGAGCCCTGTTCCCAAATTGGCCTGGGCCAGAGCACCGTGGAAGGGTATTTGTTGTAAATGGAAGGTTTCCAGGCCCTCCTGGAAATCCTGAAGTGTGAGACCTGCGGTGAGCTCAGGAGTCTGCGTTTGTGGGTGACCGAGGGGGCCTCCCCTCCCTGCAGAGTCCACACTGTGGAGAGCATCAGGAGGGGAAAGGCCTGCGTCTTGTGCTTGGCGAGCTCATCATCTAGTGAGGAAGGCATGTGTGAATCTCGGGACAAGGCAGCGCTGAGCCGTTGTGGACTAGCGGTGCAGGCAAGGGGTTGTTTCTGACCAAGGGCAGTGAGAAGGTTTCCCACAGAGACGGACGTCTGGATTGAGCTTTGAAGAAGAAAGCCAGGACTGGAGCAGATGAGGAGGGAGGCGTGCGAGGCTAATGACAGTGGCTTTCTGTTTGATGTCGGGGCGGTTTCCTGTTCTCTCAAGGCACACTTATTCCCTCTTAGCCTTTCATGCAGTTTCCTGTCTTTCCTTGCCTACCTTGTCACCTCGAGTAAAGATAGTGATGCATAATTTGTTGTGTTAGATCACAGCCCATGCAGAGTTGTTTAGACTCTCTTTGAGGAACGTAGGGTGACCCTGTCTGTGTAAGCAGAAATGCCGGTGAGTGTGAGTCAGGTGGCAGCAGGTTCCAGGTCTCGCACACCTGAGCGGACTCTGTGGTGTCGTACTCAGCTCCGAAGGTCTGGCGAGGTTCTTTTTTTTTTAATTTTGATTTTAATTTTTAAATTTTATTTATTTCTTTTTTTGAGACGGAGTTTTGCTCTTGTTGCCCAGGCTGTGGTGCAATGGCGCCATGTTGGCTCACCGCAATCTCCACCTCCCAGGTTCAAGTGATTCTCCTGCCTCACCTTCCTGAGTAGTTGGGATTACAGGTGCGCGCCATCACACCTAGCTATTTTTTTAAAATTTTTAGTAAAGACGGATTTTACCATGTTGACCAGGCTGGTTTCGAACTCCTGACCTCAAGTGATCCACCCACCTCGGCCTCCCAAAGTGCTAGGATTACAAGCATGAGCCATCGTGCCCAGCCCTCATTTGGTTTTGAACTTGGCACAGTCCTGCTCCAAAGTGGCAGTGGGTATGAGGAGTCATCTTCAGAGGAGGCAGCACAGTGCCTGTTTCTGGGGCTAATGGTCTGCTGCTTCTACCTGCAGCCCTGGAGCTTGGAAGCAGGTGTGCAGGAACTGACCCGATCTGTGCTGGACCTAGCTGGAAACTGCAAAAGATAGCTTGGCCTTAGAATTATGGGACTTTGTGAAAACTGATTGTTAAAAGGTATCTTGTTAAATTACAATTTGTATAATAGAATGTTAGTTCGTATTTTTAGCAGTTTTTCAGCTCAGAATAACTTGTGGGGGTGGGAACAGCAGTCACGGGATTTCCTTTTACTTGGACAGATCCTTTCAGCGAACTTGCATCTTGACAGACCATCAATAATTTTAAAGATTTTGGGTTTTGTCAGTTCTCTTTATAAAAAGATTATTCTTCCCATAAGCGTTGGTTCTATTTCTAAATGAACTCACTGGTTTTCAGGCTTGACTTTCAAATGTTAAAATATATATACACACACACACACGTATATATGTGTATGTATATATGTACATATATGTATATATGCATGTATATATGTGTATGTGTGTGTGTGTGTGTGTGTGTGTGTGTGTGTATGTATATATATGAAGGTCTAGAGTCTCCCAGCTTGCTTCAGGGTGTTAGGGACCCAGGCATTACCTCACTGGGTGACTAGTGCACAGTCAGGATTGATTGAGAACCTCTAGACTGACCTGCTGCGACTCAAAGGCTTGATCTTCAGCTCTTCCATTCCTAGCATTGGGAAAGGGAAGACAGCAGCAGTGACCTGGTCAGGAGGAGCCCGGAAGGCCCGGGCAGAGGGGCCCCTGCAGATATTCTTACACGTCCATGTGCAAGGGAGGACTCATTTTGGCAGCAGAGCTTTCAGATCCCTGTTCCTCACTCTCCTGTGGATGGTGGATGTGTTTCCTCACCAGTGGCTGAAAGTAGAATGGCACGACATGGACTTTGTCTGAAAGGATGGCGTTGCTCCTGTGTGTGTGTCTGTTGCTGCCGTTCCACAGTGAGAGGCTGGTCCCCGAAGACGTCTCTGCTGTGTGCAGGTGTTACCTGACTTGGATCGGTGCTGGAGGGCTGTGGGTAGTGATGTTAAAGTGAATGCCTGTGCAGGAGGAGCAGGGGTTGTGTGGAATCTGAATTGCTTTGCCATTCATGGCTTTAAAACCCCGTCTCCCTCCCTCCCCATGGTCTCAGGGTCTGGTTTTCTGTATGCGGGATGCATAAAAACAAAGGAAAGGCTGCTTTCTCCCATAGTTCTGTGCCTTTGGTTTTAAGTCATATTTGCCTCACAAACTAAGAAAAAAATTCATGCTTAATTCTGTGTCTGAAAAATATCAGTCTTCCTTCTGATTTGAGTGCTTTATCTGGGACAAATATTTCAGAAAACAATCAACTCAGTAATCGAATTGACTCTGGTTACACAAGAACAGACTCAAATAACTGACCCAGCACATGTTTTTGTTTCCAGATAATTAGACTTTCTATTTTTGTTTAACCTTTTTCTAATTACAAATGTAAATTAGTTTATATAAAGAATAAAATAACATGATTTCGATGAAAGATATACTAATACATTTATTATACAGTGTATATCCTAGGAGGTCAGTATTTTTTTAGTGGTTTTTGTTTTGTTTTGTTTTGTTTTGTTTTTAAGTAATAGGCTTCTGTTTTGTCTCCTTTAGTTGACCAGATATACCATCTGGCATCTCCAGCCTCCCCTCCAAACTACATGTATAATCCTATCAAGACATTAAAGACCAATACGATTGGGACATTAAACATGTTGGGTAAGTTGCCATTTTCTTGTTTTTTGGCTCTTGCTGGGAATATTTTAGACGATTATAAGCATAGGACATTGAATCTTCTACTAGAGTTTGATCTGGGTCCCTTATCATCCCTTATCGCCCTGCCTGTGGTATTTGGCAGTTTTGCAGTGTTATTTCAGTGTGACTTTATTTATCATCAGAATATGTCATGGAGGAGATATTCTAACTTTTCATGCATCATAGTAATCAGGCTGCAGCACCCTGGTGTAGGATCCCCTGGGAGTGACCACAGGCGCTTCATGTGACCGACCACCCAGCCTTCCCCTCCTCCTCTCCTCTGAAACCAGTTGATGAATGCCAAGGATAAGTGGCATGCCTCATGCTGGAAAGAGGCAGTGGTGGCTCTCATCCCGAGGTTGGCTTGGCATGGCCTTACACACGGTTGTTTCAGTAGCACTCTTTGAAGGAATGGATGGAGACGTCTGTATGGGATGTTATCAAGATGGAGTACCTGCCCTAGATTGGACTTCAGGGTTCGCATTCATGAAAGATGGAAGAGACGGCATTGTTAAGGGTGGCCATATGTGTATATTCACAAGTGACATGCCTTAGATTTATAGCTCTGGGTAATATGCACATATTAATGTTTAAAATTGGAGGCATGCTTAAATTTGGCACAGTGTTTTTCAAAAAAACTCTCCGGGTTTTGATTATTTGCAAAGTGGAAGAAAGGAACCGCTTTTTAAAATGGCAAGTAAATGATGGATTTAAGTGTAGGAACATTTAATACAGGTTCTGCAAATAGACTTGGGAAATACAGCACTAAATTTTGATTTGAACAAAACGTGGAGTCAAGGTAATGAAAGGACAGCCAGCGATTGGTTTCTCTCTTAGACACAATATTTTAGGGGGTGGTACTAGTCAAGGTTCTACAGAAGAACAGAACCGATAGGATGTGTAGAGATTTAGAGAAAGAGATTAGTTACGAGGGATTGGCTCACATGATTATGGAGGTCGAGAAGTCCCACCGTCTGCCTTCTGCAAGCTGGAGAACCAAGAAAGCCAGGGTGTAGTTCCAAGGCCTGAGAACTGGAGAGCCGAGGGCAGATCAATGTTCTGTGTAAGCAGTCGACCTGCCTCCATCTCTGTGTTCCAGTCAATCCTGTAAGGGACTGGATGATGCATCCACAGTGGGGAGGGCCATCTGTTCTATGCAATCTACAGATTCAAATGCTCCTGTCTTCTGGAAACACCCTCACAGACACCCCCGGAGATAATGTTCAACCAGATCCCTGGGCATCCCGTGGCCTAAGTTGACACATAAAATGAACCATCACAAGGGTCAAGTTGTTTGGAGTAAGATGATTCATTCTTCCTGTCTGGAAAGAGTTTTATCTTCTTTGTTACCGCCCCCTGCTCTGGTCCCAGACAGAACAGGGTGCTGCTGCTTCTGCTTAGAGGTGTGTGTGGTGCCCTCTTCTTGCCATCACAAGCGCCGACCCCTGCATCATACCAGAACTAGACCGTAGAGGAAAAGCCCATCATGCACTTGGTGTTTAGAGAGATTCCATTTGTTCTTCCTACTTAGGGGATGCAGTCACTGTGCCCATGAGTCCTGTCACTGTGGGGCAGATTCAGATGGGGTTACCTTTAGGCTCTTCTGCACTCGGCGCCCCATGGGGGGTGGGGGCTACTGAATGGGCACAAGTGTCGGTGATACCTAGTAGGAAGGGAAAGGCTCCCAAAGAGAGGCCTCAGCAAAATGCTATTAGAGTTAAACGCAAAAGTGACTCGAGCTAGGGCTTGAGCTATGACTGAGATTGAATGTGGAGGCCTTGCAGGAATGGTAAAGAGTGCTCCAGGAGAGATGTTGACAAAAGGCGAAGGGAGACCATTGGTAGGCTGGAAAGAAACCCACGTTGGACTTTGTATTCTGAACGGAGGGGAGCCGTCGTTAGCCATCTTGCACTTGAGATAAGATGCCATGAACTTTGCCTGGCTTCTTCCTGGTGAGACCCTTTCCTCTATGTAACTCGCCCGCCTCCCAGACCCTGTGCTAGACTTCTTCCTCTGATGAAAGCTTTTCGTAACCCCCAGACACTGTAGCAGCAGAATAGCTTCCTTGGCTTCACTCCCTGACAGTTGCCTCTGTAGATCCTGCCTAAGTCATTCCATGAAAGTGATACAGAAGTAGTCCTAGTTTCAACATCTTTAAACTCGGTTGTTTTTGAAATATAACACATTGCATTTGTGATGTGTGTTTGTGACCAAAGTTCAGAGAAAACTATAAACTGGAAATAGGTAGGGAGGAATATAAAATGTATAGTCACTTTGGAAAACAGTTTGACGCTTTCTTAAAAAACTAAATATGCATCTACCATATTACTCAGTAATTGTATTCTTGGGCATTTCTCCCAGAGAAATGAAAATTTATGTTGACATAAAAACCTGTATGAATGTTCATAGCAGCTTTTTTGTGTAGAGGTGGAAAATGAGAAGCGACCAGAATGTCCTGTCATAGGTGAATGGTTAACGGCAGCACGTCCATATATCCCCTGGAATTGTACGTCATAGGTGAATGGTTAACGGCAGCGCGTCCATATATCCCCTGGAATTGTACGTCATAGGTGAATGGTTAACGGCAGCGCGTCCATATATCCCCTGGAATTGTACGTCATAGGTGAATGGTTAACGGCAGCGCGTCCATATATCCCCTGGAATTGTACGTCATAGGTGAATGGTTAACGGCAGCGCATCCATATATCCCCTGGAATTGTACACGGCAATAGATTAGGAAGGACCTGTTTATACACACTGCAGCTTGGATAGATTTTGAGGGAAATATGCTCCGTGAAAAAATTCAGTCCCAAGAGGTCATGTTCCATTTGTGTATCTTCCTTGAGATGACACAATTATAGACATGGAGAATTGGTTCGTGGTTACCAGGGGTCAGCAGGTGGGAGGGAGAGAGGAGAGGCTGCAGAAGGGCGGTGTGAGGGATCCTGGTGGAGATGGAAATGCTCTATCACTTTTATCAATGCAATGTCCATTTCAGTGGAAATAGTCACCGATCATATCAATGTCAATGTCCTGATAGTGACACAGTCTAGTTTGCAAGTTTTAGCATTGGAGGAGTCTGGGTAAAAGATACATAAGGTCCCTATATTACTTTGTACAATTGAATTTGAATGTACAAATATCTCAAAATAAAAAATTTAATCAGGAAGAAAAAGATCTCAGGGTCCTTCATTTTGAAGCTACTACATTGTTGGACACGCTAATACCTCTGGTTCCCGCACGCTAGAATCCTTCCACCCCCACCAGCCTCGCCCAGAAGCGCACATAGGCTGCATGTGCCTAGCTTGTCTCACCCTCCTAGCAGTGCTTTGTGGGCATGTGTTGGCCCCTGCTCTGTGTGGGGGACAGAGCTGAGGGGTGTCCACACAGCCCCCGTCTAGGGTAGTGGCGATTGGGGATGGGGTATGTCCCCTGTCTTAAGTACAGGGTTAATGAAGGTCAGGGGGGTTCTTGGAGCCTGTAATGAACCTCTGTACACTGGGACTCTGTGAATGAGTTTGGAAGACTTTCCATACTTACTTGACTACCGTAGATAATGATGTTCTAGTCAGTTACATGTGAGTGGTCAGTCCAGGGAAGGGGTTCAGAGCAGGACTGAGGAATGACAGTTGCTTTGGAGAAGGTGCTGTGTAAGCTGAACTGCAAAGGAGGAAGAAGAATGCGTGGACAGTTATCCAGACAGGGTGGCATGGGCAGTTGGAAGAGCCCAGGACATGTTCAGGAAGTGGCAGGTGGACCGTTGTGGAAGTTAAGGAGAGAAGGGCCTTGCCTTCTGCCAACCAAGGGAAAGTTACCCAGTATAATATGGGGTCATATTTGGGGGCAGAGGAGTGCCTCACGAAACTCCTGAAATCACACTTTATCAAAGTAACGGATTCTGCATTTGGCCCTGCTTATGACAATATTCAACAAAATACTGGCCTTCTGAGAATCCATTTATGTTTTTCTTACTGCATTTGTTTTGTTTATTTTGGTGCCAAAGCAGATGCAGTAAGAGTAGATAATTGAATAGATAATTAAATGTCTTTAATACTAAAACATTGCTTAAATTGGCCAGCAAAAAATGTGCCCGCACATGTAAATCGAGTCTCTTTTATCATGTCTTTGCTTTCTATAGGGCTGGCAAAACGAGTCGGCGCCCGTCTGCTCCTGGCCTCCACATCGGAGGTATATGGAGGTGAGTAGGGGGCTCTCTCAGGGTACGCTCACTCCAGCCCTTGGTCTATTTTCATCCTGTCTCGGAAGAGTCCAGGGTTCTTTTCTGAGGAGACTCAGCCTGCCCATGCTCCTCCTGTGCACAAGAGGCTACCTGTCATCCTCCCCGGTTGCCGAGCTCCTCTGCCTGGTGGGACAACCTCTCATTTGATCACACATCATTGGAGCACTGCACCCTGTCACCTGGTCAATAAAGACCCACCATTTATGATTCCACGGAAGTGTTTCTGCCATTCTGCTCTGAAAACACCCCAGAAATCACACTATCTTTTTACCTGTTTGGCTAGCACATGTCGTTCTTCTATGTGAGTCATGCGTGCTGCATGCCTGACCTCCCAAGAGCTCACGGGCTGGCCTTTAAAGCTTCCTGGGAGAAGAGACGTGGGCTTACTGCCTCCCCTGTTGTATAACAAGTTCTGGAAGAACCTTAAGCAGGTAGCGTCAGAACACCCATGAGTTTGTTTTACCAAGCTACAGCCTCCCTCTCCTTCACTGCCTGGGAAGGAGTTGAGGAGTGGGGACCAGGGGCTATATTTCCAATTCGTATTGATTTCTCTTCAGCCCCAAACCAGCTGAGTGTGCAGGGTTTAGGAGAACTGCCTCGCTGATGCAGCGGAAGCCAGGTCCTGGTATGATGCATTTTTCTATTTTACATTCTTACTGTGGACGAGAGAAGGAAGTAAGAGGGCAAAATCAGAAGAAACTTTTTTTTTTTAAGTAAGGAAACTGAATGAAAAAACATAGCAACAGAGAAATTCTTCTCAATGCAGTGATATTCTTTGTAATCTCTATGAAAAGGTAGTTCATAGTCTACGTTTTTGAAGTCCTCAACAGTTACTAATAAAAGAGCAGAGCGTGCCCCTCCCTACCTGTGGGATGTGGTGTCTGTCCAGAGGGGCACGGTGACATGTTTCCCACAGCCACCCTGCTTCCCCCACTTGTCTCATTTATTATCCACGTGTCTGACAGGAGCCTGTGTTCCTTAGGCTTCCTAAATAGCTGAGAGTGTAATTTGTGGAAGTCACCAAGTGCTCTCCTCTGACCTTGAACAACCAAAGTAAACTTTTGTGGAGCGTTTGCTTAGTGCCTTAGCCTCACAGAATGCTGGAAAGGGGAGATGATTGGAAATTATTTTTGGCTCTGGATCTTTACTTTCGTGTTAACAATGTAAGTTTTCCCTGTTTTTTTCCACGGTGATTTTGTGAGGGGACTTATTTAGAAGCTTGCCGTCCTGAGCATTTCAGTCCAGACGGTGCCTGTCCAGGGACAGATGGGCGTACCCAGCCTTTTCTTTCTTGTCCTTTGTCCAATTTATGACCATCTCTTTTGGAGTGTAGCTTGCCCAGCTCTTGTCAAAGAGCCCCGGAAAAAGGTCTGAAATCAATCATTTGGTACATTCTGTGAATTTAAGTCAATGATTCCCTTCTCTCAGGAAGTAGTTTCCTTAGAACTTTTCTCTCACTGAGCAGAGAGAAGTTTGCCCTTCGAAAGGGCATTTTAAACCACAGCAGCAGATACATAGACCTTTCTTTGCGGCACACTTCTGCATTGCCGCGGAGGCTGTGCTGACCCAGAGGGATCCGCTGAGCAGACATGTGGCAGGATACCTGTCTGTTTACCTCCCTGCACCTGCTCAGGCCCACTGAGTCCCAAGTCAGACTTCAGGGGTGAGATAAACAAGATGGGAATTTATAACAATGCATCTTTTTGTCCAGATTTCATGGCAAAGACTTACACGTTTTATATCATAGTTGTACTCGAGTATGTATAAAATTCTAGGTGTACTAAATAAATTAGATATATATTCACATTCCAGAAATATACTTGTGTGAATAAAAGAATTTGTTACTTGTTTTCTTCCAATAGTCTCTTCCCCTGGTAGGTCTTAAAGCATGGTTGATTTATACGCTAGAAAAATAGGAATTGGGAGTGTAAAATGAGGGCTAGAAGAACAGGCTCCCATTTGCCAGGGAACACCCCATCCCTCCACCTGCCCTACAGGAGCCTCCACGTTGTCTTGTCACAGGTCCCGATTTGTTCTGCTGATGGCACATGTCAAAGTCATCATGTTCCACAGATGCTGCGTTTTTCATTTTTTTCAACAAATACATGTTTTGCTCCAGTTATCGATTTTATAAATATAAAACAAAACCATGTATCTCTTCACATAGATTCTATTTAATTGTAATTTGCGTAGCACTCTAAAAGTGAAGAACAATTTACGGAAGAGAGCGAAAACTTAAAATTGGGAGACCTGATCTTTTTCTTTTTTTTTCCCCTGTAAGTAAAATGTTGTCATTGCTTAATATTGTGTCCTACTGGAACTTAGAGAATGGACCGGAAATCTGAGGTGGCCTCTTTAATACATCTCTCCATCTCTAAATGGGTCTTTCCGAAGTTCCCTGTTGCATCATAAATATGCATTATTGATATGAACTGGAAAAAGGAAAGATGAAAACAGTCTCACTTTTCTCCCATCGTAGATCCTGAAGTCCACCCTCAAAGTGAGGATTACTGGGGCCACGTGAATCCAATAGGACCTCGGGCCTGCTATGATGAAGGCAAACGTGTCGCAGAGACCATGTGCTATGCCTACATGAAGCAGGTATTTCCCCAGGGTCTGGGCTTGCGGTTTAGGCGTGCTGAGCACCCTGATCTGAGATGTAAAGTGCTGTAAAGGAATGAATGCCATGACTGATTTTGTCTGGGGATAGGTGTTTGGGAAGCTCAGTTTCCCAGTATTATAAATTAATAGTATTATCAACAGCTTTTTCCCTGTATCTCCTTATTTTAAAAATGATTTCCTAGAGATGAATTCTTGGGTTTGGAATACTGTTTTATGACTATGAACAGAATGCTTCTTCATTGCCATTTGCTCACCAGCAGCTAAGAAGTGCCTCTTTTCCTGAAGCCTCCAAATCAATGGATCTTCGTTTTTTACTTTTCTATCAATTAAGTATAAAAATGGATGCATTATTGCTGTAATTTGAACCTCTTTAGGAATTGTTATTGATATGTATTTACATTATTTCACGCTTTCTTCATTAGTCATTGTTGTGCTGAGGTGCTTTTGCCAAGGATATTTTATGTCACAGCTTTGGTCTCCCGCATGTTATAGGAGAAATTGCTCACAGACCAACATGCTGAGGTTGCCACACTGGCCGTACTGCCGTGTTGACTCTAAGATTTAAGCCTTCATTCTCTCAGTTCTTATCTCTGACACAGGGTGTGTGAAGCCTGCCTTGCCCACATCAGGGCGGTGCAGGAGCCAATCAACTGTGCAGAGGTGGAGGCCCAGGCGTAGGATATTCCATTCATGTTCTCACTGAGTGTGTCCTTGGACTTGGGTCTGAACTTCCACATCCTCATGAAAATGCCCTCTGGTATGGTGGGACATGCAGGTAAATCAACATGGCTGTGGAACGTTGGTCCAGGACAGGCTGTTGTTGGTAGATGCGGTGTCTGTTTCTGGGAGCAGTGCTGTCAGGCCCAGGGTCTAGTCTGCAGGTGAGCTTGGGGAACTGTTGGCTGTGTGCTCTATAGGAGGGGAAAGTGTTGTCAGCATGGCCAGCATCCAGGAGTTTTCCTGACCATCTGTCTCAGGTCCCGGCAGAGCCCCAGTCAAGCATGTGCCAAGGGCCAGGTCACCTGCTCCTGACCTCGGATGAGAGTTTAATCGCTTTCCCTCCCCATGGTACCACAGAGAACAGGGCAATGTAAAGCCAGGTAGGCTCTCTGACGGGTGGGAGAGAATGTCGAGGACTCTCTTTCTCATCGTGTGTTTAATGAAATGCCAGCATTAAAGATCCATAAATTAACCTTATGCTATTGTTGATATTTAAACTTTACTGCTTTATTTCTTGGCCAGAAGCAGAACTAATTGCCTTCGATGCTACTTTAGTCTATTGGCTTACATTATCCACTTCCTCTACGAAATGCTAATCAGTTTTAGTAGGAACATACATTCATAATTCTGGGGCCCAGAATATCTGGACTCAGAAGTTTCAGATGATCTCCCAGACACTCAGGACCACTCTGTGTGCGTGGGTACTTAGGAGTACTGACTAGAGTGTCAGGGGCACGTAATTGCATTTTATTTAGAATATGTTCCAGGAGTGATATGATTCGCAACTGTTTTCTTTTGCTTTCAGTCCTATGATTGTATTTCTTACCTAGTGAATTTTTACACAGGTAAAGCTGGTGGACAAATGGGACATTTTGATTGAGCTTTTAGTTTTAATTAAATGGTTATTTGGCTAATGTAGTTGATAACTTTATGGGTATACGTATTACCTGAAGTATATGCTTGAGATAATTATGGTATTTGGTAATAATAGAGGCAGCATTTCTTGAGCACCGACTGTATGCGAGGTAACAGTTCTAGGGGCCTGGACTCCAGCCAGGGTCTGCATTTCACACACATACTAACATTGGATCCGTTCCTGTCATCTGTGCCTGGGGGTTCAGGAAGGTAACACCTAGTAACTCTGGAACGTCAGCATTTACATTCCTGCTCACATAGGTCTCGGGAGCTTAATGGCATGGGCAGCGTTGCCCTGAAATCTCTGAGTAATGTACGTGTTAGAAGCACCCCGTGTGGTCAGCTGGTTCCTCCTGCTCAAGGTAACATCCCTGACATGAACCCCATGGGGAGGGTGTCCCTGTCACTCCCTTGGCATGGTACGCCTTCTATGGAGTCCCCAGGCATGGGCCTCCCACCCTGGAGTCCCCAACAGACAGTTGCAGAATGGCTGCAAGAGTCACTTCTGTGGCCAGGTTCACAATGTAGTTCACACGGGTGCCGTGGGTTCTTCATGTGGGAACCACACTTGCTGCTTTCCGTCACACCGGGAGGCTTGAGAATTGGCCCACGGAAGACAGGTGCAGCACTTTCTAGGAAGGAGAGTGTGGAACTTGGGGTCTTGGCCAACAGGTCAGTGATCTGTAGTTTCACTGGGGCTCACACTCTACTTAGCACATGTGCTGAGGGTTTGCATCTGCCCAGGTGAGAAATGGCACCAAGGAAGGCCCACCTCTGGTGGCACGTTGAGGGGGGCACGGAAGCAGGTGTGAAGCAGGTGTGATGTTGCCACCCTTCCCTACGGACCCTACCCATTCCCACTGTGTGGTCATTATGTCAGGGAGTGACCGTGCCCTTGACCCTAGGGGTGCTGGATCCCTGTCCAGTTCTGGTGGCTGCGAGGCAGACAGCAGGAGGTTGTAGTTTCCTGACGAGGAAGGAGTGACGGGACCAAGAGCAGTGAGCCTGTGAGGGTCACTGTGGTCTTGCCTGAGTTCCAGGAGGCCTGTGAAGAAGGTGCCGTGTGTTCTTCCCACCTTCCGTCCCATTGTTCATGTTGTAAATGTTGTGCTCCCTTGTAGGAAGAGCCATGGGTCCAAGACCACAAGCCCCTCTGGGCCCTAAGATTGGTACCCAAATACTCACTCCCACTTTTGTCTGAATGGGTGCTGAGGAGGGAGGAAAATGGTGCCTTTCCTCTCTGCGCATAGGAGCAGGCACCTCACAGCTGAGACAGGTTTCAGTTCCTGCTATGGCAGGATATTTTGCCAGGTATAGAAAAATAAGAAAATACTGATTAAGCAAGAAAAAAGAGAAATTGCTATGCATAATCCCAGCTAGAGACAAACATAAGGGGGAAAATTTAAAAAAAACGACCACTGTGTGAAGATTGTGAGAGATATAAAACGTTCGGATGAAGACGTTGAGATGGTTCTTTAACTCAGGATTTTGTGACAGCTGGCAGCAAGGGTGGATCCAAGCACCTCCTGCCACATTGGGTCTGAACTCTGTCCATGGCCTGGTCTGGGGCAAATCACTGGACCTCTTTGGGGGCGGCAACTCCAAAGTGATTGTTATTTTCTGGGACTATGACTGTGTTCTGAGCACAGCAGCCTGCAGGGCCTTGTGCCTTTCGGACGTGCCCCTGTCTGGAGGTGGCATTGTTTGAGGATGCTCTGCATGCGTGCTGTGGGTGTTGCGAGAGAGCTGGAACTGGGGGCTGGAGTGCCTGCTGCATGCTCAGCCTCTGTTAGGGCTCAGTCCGTTTAATCTCACTGAATTCCCCACAGCCCCCTCTGAGGTGGGAGTGGTCAGCCCATCGCACAGATAGGAGGATGGGCTCCAAAACTGGTTTCTAGGTCCCTAGCCCATAAGTGGGGCTGGGACCCTCAGCTGGGTACCTGTGGGGCCTGCTCCTCCCCACACTCCCTGGCTATCCCTGCAGGCTGAAGCAGGTAAGGAAGCATGAGTGAGCAAGAGGAGACCATGCAGCTCCAAGTCCAAAGGTGCCAAGGCGCCTTTGCAGCTCGCACAGTCATGGGACGGTGCCCAGAACGAGTGGTTCACGTGCCTGCGCTAGTGTCACCCCTGCACCTCTCAGCTGGGAGATTCAGCAACGGGAGCTGCACTGTGACCTTGTCAGTTTATAGTTCTAAACGTGACCTTTTCAGATAGTTTGGTGGGAAAATTTAAAACTTCGTGTTGGCCGGGCGCGGTGGCTCAAGCCTGTAATCCCAGCACTTTGGGAGGCCGAGACGGGCGGATCACGAGGTCAGGAGATTGAGACCATCCTGGCTAACACGGTGAAACCCCGTCTTTACTAAAAAATACAAAAAACTAGCCGGGCGAGGTGGTGGGCGCCTGTAGTCCCAGCTACTCGGGAGGCTGAGGCAGGAGAATGGCGAGAACCCGGGAGGCGGAGCTTGCAGTGAGCTGAGATCCGGCCACTGCACTCCAGCCTGGGCCACAGAGTGAGACTCCGTCTCAAAAAAAAACAACAACAACAACAACAAAACTTCGTGTTAGGATTTATGCTGTCCGGAGACAAATGAAAAAATCAAGCAGGATGAACCAGGTGGAATAGTACGTCTGGCATATTTTTAATTCATTATTTTAACAACTTTAATTAATTTCTTATACATAATAACATATCCCCTCTTAAGTATAAATTGTCATTTTATTGTCAAGATTCTATATAGTATGTGGATATGTCTTACGCTGAATAATATGTAAAGATTGAAAATATAAACAAGATAGAGGTAGGAAAAATTTTTTTATAGAAAAATTTCTCTTTTCCTAAGGATTCTCTTCTGAGTTTCTTCTAATGAATGAAATTTCCTAATGTATTCAAAATAGAATTTTACTTTCCAGAAAAATCTACCACACATCCCTTAGAAAAAGAGAAACTCCCTGGAATATTTTTTCGTGGGATGGAGTGAGATGGAGGTTGGGATCAAAGGGCAGAGCTTCTCCCGAATGGTTTGAACTTGCCAGGGAGGAATTAAATTGCCGCTTCTGCATGCATTTGGACGCAGTGGCTTGATAAATGTGGGGGCCTCCCCCGTAGGCTGCGGTCAGTGCTTAGTGTGCATTTGAGTTCATCGCCCCCTCATGAGTCTGACTCTGAGGTCTGTGGCCCACCCACTGGGCTGGATCTGCAAAACAGGCCACCATTCATAAAACCAGCAAATGGCAGCGTGGAAAGAAAGCAAACTCAGAAATCACCTAGTCTAATGGCCCTGAAGGTGTGGTTTTGTGTTAGTTCCTGGCATCAAAGTACTTTTGAAAAAGTCAAAGAGTTGGTA